TAAAGTTCATTTTAGTGTTCGAAAATACATAATACGGTCGGTTATAATAAACGAATTTTTTGATAACGAGAGATTTGTTATATGTATTAATGTTCGTAAAACTTCATTTTTGACGAAAATCTAATGAACGAACTATGCTTCTTCATTTTCCATTTTTATGGTTCGCTGGCTTCTGTTTTTTTTATTTTGTTTTTATCCATATATACGCCAAAAATCTGATGGCTTATTCTTCTGCTTCATAGAGCCTATTGTGCCTGTGCCTTGGGGAGAAATCGTTATTAAATATTTATGCATTTTGTTATATATATCTTCCATATTTCCAAATTCATATTTCATCCGTAAAATAATGCCGCTGTTGCTGAACTTGAGAGAGCATTAATATTGTATATTGACGACCATCAACAGAATATATATTTTTATTTTATTCATCAAATTAATAGTACATGTAATTAAGAAGGGAGGGGACGCCCTAGCTAGCTACAGACCTCAGTGAGTCATCAGTTCTGCTTCGTCTTCATCAGTACTGGATGCCGAGTCAGTTTCTCCACCGGAGTTGGCTAGTTTTTCTTTCCCGTGGCCTTTGTAGATGTGGGTGTTGCCAAACTCGAAAATTCCTACTCTCTCCGTTTTTTTCCCCTTAATATTATTCCCAACGATTCCGAAGTCATTGCCTCTTCCGCCCTTGTCTTTTTCTTTATCTCTCTCATTCTTGGGTTTGACATTCTTCTGAGACTTATTGCTGTGACCATTAGACCGAGCTGACTTTGATCCAACGTTTAAGCTAGCAAATGCTTTCTCTGCACTATTGTCACCGTGCCTATCAAGCCTCTGCTCATATCCTTTTAAAATGGCAACTACATCCTGGGCATCAATAGTGTCCAGATCTTTTGTATTCTCTATCACAGCTGCAATACTATCATAGGATTTAGGCAGACTAATGAGTAGTTTCTGAACAATTCGTTGATTGCTCAGATCATCACCATAGCTCTTCATTTGGTTGATCAAATCAAACAACTTAGCAATATATCCAGACAAAGATTCATTATCATTCATCCGAGTATATTCAAAATCACGCCTAAGACTCTGAAGTTTCACGGATCTTACCTTCTTATCACCAAAAAATTCTTGTTTCAGAATATCCCACGCAGCCTTTGCAGTTTCTTGAGTTGCTATTCTTGGAAAAAATTGATCTGATACAGCGCCTTGGATAATACCCAGAGCTCTAGCGTCCTTCACCACGTTCTCACGCATTAGCTTCCTCTCTACCTTCGTGAGCTCCTCCTCCTCTTTCTTCGGAGTTTTGTACCCATTCTCCACAATATCCCACAGGTCGTGCGAACGGAAAATGGTTTTCATTTTGATTTGCCAGAAATCAAAATTTTCACCATTGAAGATTGGTGCCCTGAGTTCCCCTCCTCCAGATCCAGCCATGTTAGACTCGATCGCCGATGTAAGCTTGAATCACTGCAATAAGCCTTCGCTTATGAATCCTAGCTCACTTTAACAAACCCACCATGTTAGTGTTTGACAAGCTAATATGTGCTAATGGGAAAATGGAGAGTGCCGTTAGAGGAGAGAGAGAGAGAGTTAGACAATTCCTAGCTTCAATCTCAACCATCCAACTACACTATCAATAGGATTAAGACACCTATCCAGTCAAGTCCTATGAGACTTAACAAACCGTTGACTAGTATAAATAGCTTAGCCTATGAGCTAAGTATTAACACTAAAAAAAATAATTACATACTAAATCAGTTTACCATTTTGCACATTAACAGTGGGTGTTGCCACCCTTAACCTACTGATCCATAGAAGGGATGGTCAACAGGGTTTTCATCTTTATGGAATATAGCAGAAATAGCATGTGCACAAGGTATGCCACATAAATCCCATCTCCTACAACTATAAGACATTGCTACAAGATCTACAACAAACTCCCCACCATACATGTGACTGACTTGATACATTATCTCCCCAGCCAATCTAGGAATGCATTGAGAAGCTCCCATCTTGTTCTTCTCAATTATTTTGAATATCCTTGGGCTAACAGGGTGTTTCCATTTACCACAAGCAGCCCTTCGATTAGCCATCCTAAGCATCACATACATTCAAATACATTCCAAATATGTCAAAATTGAATTATCTCTGGCATCAATTATATCTGCATTAAAGCCCTCACAAAGGTTGTTCAGCTGAAGATAACACTTATACCTTGGATGAAACTGAGATCTAGTCCAATTATTGGGTGGTCTCTGCACCAACCATTTCCAAGCTTCCAAGTCCTCTTCCTTCATCTTCTCCATTTATGCTTCCCATCATGGAATAGTAGTGGCTCTAGCAGCTGCCTACAACATGTGTTTAAGAGTGAGACCAAGATGTGTTGCTCTGAAATTGTTGTACAAGTGCCGGACGCACATCCTAATCTCTGCAATTGGTAGTACATATGCAATGGCAAGTATGAGCCCCTTTTGCTTATCACATATGAAAGCCCAAGATAAACCATTTGTAATACCTAAATCTTCAATCAACAAAGATAGAAACCAAATCCACGAGTCCTTGTTTTCAATCTCAGCCACAGCATATGCAATTGGGAAAAGACCATTATTACCATCAACTCCTACAACAGTGAATATTTACCCAGGATAAGGACCTTTCAAATGGCGAGCAACAACCCCAATTACAAGCCTGCACCCTGCTAAAAACCCTTTTTTACAAGCAGCCTGATACACATAAATCCTTTAAAATATTGCTTCACCCCCAACCAAATCACACTTAATTTTTACTGTACTACCTTTGTTGGTATTCTTCAACTGCTCTACATAGTCCCACAACCGTGCATATTGCTGTATGTAGTTTCCTTCAATTTGTGCTTTAACCAATCTCTTTGCCCTATACACTTGAGTTTTGGACACCCTCACATGATAGGACTCCAAAACTTCTCCTTGAAAAGCTTTCAGATTCCAATATGTGTTTCTCTTAATCTTGCTAGAAAATCTCTCACAAATCCATTTTGGATTAGCAAACTTCAGTTTCTCCACCCTCTCACATGTGTGTTCTAAGCTCAACTTCTTAATTGCAAATGTTTGCACATCTTGGTTTAATTGTGAAGCATAAAGCACAAATGGACATTTTAATCCTCCTCTACAAATTGCCTTTACTCTCATCTTGTCATTTTTTTCAAAGAACAATTTCCTTCCATGAATAATGGAATATTCCCTGAGTGCCTTTTTAAGAACTTGTCTATTTTCCAATTGCATTATAAGCCGAAACTCAGAATTCTTCAAGTCCACTCCCTTCTATACTGCTTAAATCGAGGCAATTTTTTTTCCTTCTCATCTTAATTATCCCTTCATTGTACCCTTCCATATCATCCCCATCAACCTCACTTTCAGTATCAAAATCTGAGGTGTGCTCACCATCTGATGACACCTCTCCAGGAGCTAAAAAAGTAGGCCCCTCATTGCTATCATTCATAGTGTCCTCTGCCCCTTCATGAACAGGCACTTCAACTGTCTTAAACCCAAATTCTTCTTCATTGAACTCGTAATCACTATTAACAAATTCTCCATCATCCTCTTCACTGTCTACAACCTTAGCTTCATCTTTATCTTCAACATCAACATTATCTTACACCCCAGTTTCATCTTCCACCTGACTTTTCTCTTGCACCCTAGTTTCATATTCCACCTGACTTTTCTCTTGCACCTCAATTTCATCTTCCACCTGAACATTGTGTTGCACCTCTGCATAATTGTCTGCACCATCCAAACCTTGGCACCCAAAAGATGCTTGACTCCAAACTATATTAGAATTGCCCACTTTAATATAGTACAACACAACAATCCTCTTACATGGCATTTGGCCCAACATGTCAATCAGCTTAGCATCAAAGTTGATAAGTTCAAGCCCACCTACACCATGGGTTCCACCCTTTCTATACCATATTTCCAAATTTGGTTTGGGGTTGGAAATGTCTACATTGTAACCAAGCCCTTTCTCTACCTGTCTTAAGTCCACCAATGACAGAAAATCCTCTGCAACATTATCCAAGTAACAAACTTTTTCCATTTTTATACTCCCCACTTTCCAACACACCCCCATGGTGAAGTTCTAAACTACAGTTTTCATGGTTACCTGCACAGTAAACAAAGGTCAAAACAATGCTAAAACACACACACCTGTTTTGGAATCATAAAATAAGACAAAAACATGTTTGAATTCAATGTTCTGCACCAAAACCAACATATACAGTACACAGTTCATTCAGTTTTTTAATTGCTATGGAATAACTTCAGTGTATTTGGTGTGAGGCATAGATAGAAGACAAGAAGGGATAAAAAAACCCTTACTGTTGCAGTCAAGGACAGTATAAAGCAAAGCGTGTAAGGAATCTTTAAAAGCTATGGACCACACAGATGAAAACAAAACCAACTTATACGTATCCAAACAGGTAGAATCACTTACTGTATTTAGGAGCAACACCACCCCAATGGAAGTCAAACACTTCCATCACTATCAGCCAAAAGGACGAAAAACCCAACTATCCCCAAAATGAAACCCTAACTTTGAACTGTACCCCCGATCAACCCCAAATTTCGAAGCTTACATAGAAAATTTCTCACTCACTCAGTCACTGCTACAGCAAATTTAACTCCATTGGCTGCCTTAGAAGGGACAGCTCACTGTATGCAACTCCAATGACTGCCTCATAAGGGATAGTTCACGTGCAGACCCCCTTTCTTCAGTGCTAAATTGGATTTGTTTCGTTCAAAATGACGAAAAGTCGAAGATACCCTAAACAACAAGAGCACGTGACACTCACATGGTCAATCTTGACGGATTCTGTTACGGTAGGACCTAAATGCAACTGATTGTCTAATTAAAGGATTTCGTTGCCTCAAAATTTAGTTCACGAACCCAATTGCAACTGGGGCCATAGTTAAAGGACGTCTACAGTAATTAACCCTAATTTATAATTGCAAGCACTAATTATAATTTATTATATAATTTATGTGTGGACCTCTCTTACAAATGTGCATGTGCATGTCCAAAGAAGTCAAATATTTTGTCCACGCGGAGTACCTTTTTTACTACACTATCGATCATGACTATTATACATATTTTTTTTAGAAAGTCTCAGATTGCTTTTATAATTCAGACAAAAAAGTCACTAACTACAAAGGGCCATTACAATAACGAAGCGATCGAACATCAAAATTAAGATAATATGATGTGCTTCCACTAATGATCATTCATGATCGAAGAAACTCTAGCATAGACATCCCAACTAAGATTGCAAACTCATAATAATAAAAAACAGATAAAGCTTGAAAAAAACTAAGTCAAAACAGTACAAATAAAATTATCTCAAAGGAGAGATGAAAAACTCTCACAAAGGAGAGGTGAAAAACTCTCACAAAATGAGAGGTGAAAAATACACAGAGAACCCAAAGAGTCTCTGCGACTTATTCCAAATATAAAGGAACCGCAGAAATGATGGTGGTGGAGATCCAACGCCGAAACGCAGGTGGAGATCCAATACCATGACACAACCACATGTGATGGTTGGAGGAAAATTATAACAAAACTAAGACATAGGAGAAACCTTTTGTGTTTGAAAATAGGGGAAGAGGAGAAGGGAGGAAGAGAGGATGGGGGAGGGGAGGAAGAACTGCGACTTCCTCCCTCCTGAAAGTGAAAACGGCTCTAGGAGTGTTTTTTGACAAAGAGGAGGCTAGGATTTCTTTGATAATAGAGTCTTTTAGAATGCCCCATTAACTTTAAAAATGAACTTATTTGAAGCTTCTTTCCATTGGTGTCTTTAGGATTGATCAAGTTTGATTTTGCTTAACTTATTTTTGGATTGTTAGTTTGTAATTATTTTCTTTTATTTTATTTTTATTAAATATACTCACACAGTCGAGATTTGAACAAAAAATGAAAATCTTGAACCTTTCTCCACACACACAAATTAAACCCTTTTTTACAAGACTTTTCCTTCTTTTTTTTTTCTGGTGGCTGGGAAAACTTTTCCAAGTTGATCATTAGGAATTTTGCAGATATAATAGTAATTGTAAACACGAATTTCTTGAGACAAATGAGACAAGAACGCGTGTACAAAATAATATTTGTATTAATGAAATTTAGGATTACAATCTTTGTATTGAATCCTCTGATTCAATCTCCAAAGCATTTAAAGAAAAGTTGTGTTTGATACAAGGGTCGTATAGACTTGATCTTGATCAAACGGGTAGCACAAGGCTTATTTGGTGTTTGGATTTTTCTAGGGTAGAGGAACCGACACGTATTTGTTGTGCTTTGTGGCTCTTCCAAAATGAGGTGAAGAATGTAGAGAGTTTTTTGTTTCTTCTGAATGCTTGGTCTGTCTAAGCTTTTTTCTTTTTGTCTTGAGGCCTCCTATTTATAGGCTCCTGCAGGATGCTTTACCTAAATAACTTTCCCTCTTTAAAACCTTCCTTTGTGGAATTCTGATTTGATTTTAAAATCAATTCCAATAATTTGGCAATTTAACCAAATTATCTTCGATTGATTGACTTGATTAATATTTGATTTAAATCAAATTCAATCACAGAAGATTCTTTTCCTTAATTTTGTCTTCACTTTGAACCGCTTGACGCTCTCCGTCAGATGTCGACACGTGTCACTTTTGTCAACTAATCCGATTTTGATGAGTCATACACCACATGGGCGAATTATGGGGCCCACAATTTAATCCACCAAACCCTAATTATTTTCTTATTTAGTAGAATTTAATTCGCCAAAATTTCTTTATCTACAGTAATAAATAAATCCATGTATATTTATTTGATTCAAGATCTTTCCTTGATGCAATTTCTACGTGTATATAGGTCTAAGAAATTTATGTGATTAGTTAACAATAGTAACTTCCATTTATTGAAAGATTGTCTTCCATCTGATTTTTGGAGTATTGGCCTCCACTTATTTGAAGATCTTTCCACTTTTATATTTGCATATATATAAGATGGGTCTCGATATCGAACTGAAGCTGAACAACTGAACCAGAGCCCACATGAGAGGGTAAGAAACCGTTTTCCTGGTCGCCCTAGAATGCTTTTTGGACAAGAGTCCCAAGGAGAAAGATCTAAACAAGAGCCCCAGCAAAATGAAAATCGTGAGGCAAAAAATACTGATAAAAGCAACGAGACCAACAATATTAACAATAATAATATCTCCGCAATTAACAGCGCAGATGTTGGGATTAGGAATGTTGGCAACAAGTACAACAACTCGAGTGTACCATTTCTTCTTCGGCTTCTTGTTCTTCTTGTTCTGGGGTGTTTTTTTAAATATATATATATATATATATATTAACGGTGAGTAAGCGAAGCAAAAAATGAAGCAAGCGGCTTCATTGAAAAAGAAGGCACGAGCAAGAAGAAAAAGAAGAGAAAAATCAATAAGTGAGAAAGAAAGATTCGCTTGGAGTTTCCAGTACTATTACGTAGCGGAAGGGTTTGGAGACGTATGGCCACCAGAGCTCCTATACTCAAACTTTTCTTTGCGTTCCTTTCTCTGAATTTGAATCTTATTTATCTTATATATATTTATGTATTTCTTCATCTTCTACATGCCATAAGTATATTGATATATGCTGAGTAAGTATTATTTCTTTTTCTTCTTGTGTACATGGCATAAGTATTATTTCTTCTTGTTCTAGCCTTTTTCTTTCATAGCCGCTAAAGTATATCAGGAGTGAGAGTAAGCAAAACCAAAAAGAGAGAAAATTCAAATAGAGAAAGCAAAGAAAAAAAAGAGGAGATTAAGAAATGTTTATGGTCCATTTGGATGAAGGAAAATAACTCAGAATTTAACTAAAAGTCAAGAATTTAAGAGGGGAAATTAACAATTCCCTTGTTTGGCAACTTAAGCAAGAAATTTATTAAATGACATGCGGAAAAAATCATGGAAATTGGGGCATCACATTCCCGAGTTTAATTAATTTCCACCAAAATAGGCATTATTTCACAATTTTCATAGTATCATTTACAAAATTTTGTCATTTACAAAATTCGACATACATAAATCCAAACACTAGAATTTTCAATTGCCAGAAATTAAAATGATAGAAATCTAAATTCTGTCATTTTAGAATTCTATGTAATTTTCAATTCCTTTGTACAAACGGAGGGTTAAAATCTCGAACCATATCATTAATTCGTGTAAAACAATCAGAGGCGGAAGCTGCGTGTTTGAGCCTTGCTTTCCAAGACAAATGACCTTTTCTAATTTTGTTCATGAACTTGTTGGCATGTTACCTTACTTACCAGCATTGCTTGAATAGAAACCCCAATGAAGGAAAGTGGATAGGCCACAAATTGTAGTCATCAGATGATTTTTGGTTAGATTAACGATTGATATCTTGAAATGTAGATAAATCACATATATATATATATATATATATTTCCATATGGATGTAGTGCAGCTAAAATACCTAAAAACAGAAAGTCATTTCCAGTACCATAAACAAAACAAGAAAGTTACAAATCTCTACAAAGAATTCTTGTTCATTTTAAGAAATATCTCATACAAATACAATACCCTCGTAGGAACTGACTTAAACACATATTAAAACGTCATATTAATATACCGAATTTAAAAAAACTAATATCAAAATTCAGTTTTAAAAAAAAAAAAAATCGAAATGAAGGCCACAACTGAATTATACCATTTATCTCATCTTATCCTTTTAAACCCCACAAATACAAGTTTTTAAGTTCTGTCTGTTTATTTCAATATCAGTTTAACTCTTTGACATGAGATATGAAAAATTAAATTCAATGTGAAAATAAATAATTACTCATACATGAATAAAAGAAACATTGTCAGATCAGTTCTGTCAATAAACTGTCGCACAACAAACCAAGGAGAGGAAAAACAAAAAAAGAAAGATAGAAAGAAGCAAAACTAGAGCAAAGTGCTCCACCTAACAAACATGGAAATTAACTCTGCAGCCTCTTTTTTTATTATTGTTTTAAACTACCAACTAAGACTCTCAATAAATATCACACATGCCCGTTTACTGTTAT